GGTCGTTTGGACCGGGAGCTTTGTGAGACTGAATGGACAAAAGCTTTTTCGCAACGCTTTCGGGTGTAACAGTCGGCAAGACATCTGAATGACCGTACAATGACCATCTGGATTGAATTTCTGGGAAATCATTTGTTAGATCTGCAAAAAACGTATTAATCATATTTGCAGCATCACTATCTTCGAGTTTGGAGTCTGATCCCTGCTCACTGAGATTGATAGAAGATTTCTTCTTTCCAGTCAGTTTCCAGACGTTCTTCCACCACATTCGGGCATCCCCGTTGGTATTCAGCCTTCCAATGTTCATTACATAATAGTGCCTCTTTGCCTTTGTAATTTCCGATGCTACTCTATTACGAAGTTTCCTAAACTTCTGCATTCTTCCTTGTTTGTATGCGTTATCTCGCTTCCTTAGTAACTTTTTTATTTTTGTTGTTATAAAAAATTTATCATCGGAGTGCATTCGAACTGTTCTCTCCGGGAAATAGTAATTAATCATATCGTTAGTAGCTCTGGTAAAATCCTCAACCTTCTCATCTACGTTCTCAAGGTTTAGTACGATTGACCAATCATATTGGGCAAGACAGGAACCAAATTGTTGCAGGTTATATCTTGGCGTTGGACGAAATTTAATTTTCTTCACAATGTTTACCGAGCGCTGCTGTGATTTCGCCATCCAAATAACCATATTATGGTCTGAGGTAGACAGTGTGCAATTACTTCAGGGGGATTATAATGTGAGCTCATGTTAGTAAAAATAAGATCTAGGATATTGGAGTTTCGTGTCGGATCCTTAACCACTTGCTTTAAATTAAAATCACAATAGTCAGAAAGACACTTCATATCAAAACCGTTGCTGCAGGGATTAAAATCTCCAGCCACAATAAAACCTGTTTCTGGACTTTCAGATGATACTTTGTCATAACACGAATAAAAATAGTCATAAAACGTTTCTAAGTTTACTCGATCAATTGAGGGAGGAAGGTATACACAAGCAACAGCAATTCTCGAAATTGTTCGTGGAAGCCACTTTGGACGCAGAATTAGCCACTGACATTCAAAGCTCGAGTCAGAGAGATCATCACGAGTTCTTATTGAAAACTCTTTACGGACATAGATTCCACAGCCCCCTCCAGAACCGATTTTCCTATCCTTACGTATCAAAGTAAATTGTGGGATGTTAACAACTTCACTGGGTATATTGTCCGCTAGCCATGTCTCCGTGACAATGATGATTTCAGCTTTATGCTCGTTTGAATAATATTTTAATTCATCTATTTTCCCCATAATTGATCTCGCATTTACGAGAAGCACATTCGGTAAGGTTCGGGCGGTTGGGTGATATGATGGACTCTCTTTTTTAAGGTAGATCAGGTTTCTAATCACAGGGTTAGATTTTTGTTTGTAGTACTGATAGGGATGCTCGTCACTTCGGTTTGTAGTAATTACGGGTATTGAAAAACAATTGGTTGCATTAGTGGTGGGTGCTACATTGACAATATCTGTCGGACCAGCTTTAAGTGGTCTAGCCATTCCAATGAGCGCGGCGGGGGCTTCTGGTTCGTTTGGCGCCGCCGAAAATGATATTGTGATTCTTTAATAGAATACTTAGAACAAGATGTTAAATGAGACGCCACACAATCACCTTGTTTTCTTGAAAGTGATCTTACCGGGTCACTTTTCTTTCTTGAAAGTGGTTTGTAAGGAACTTCAATAAAGGGCAAAAAATTTAACCATGCATTGGATTGCCGGGGTTTCATGACTTGCTCAATGGTTTTGTCAGCAAAGCGAGTGTTTCTGCCACTGGTTTCTGCATGCATGTATTTTCTATTAGACAGAATGCGTGCTCCTATCTTTCTCAGTAAAAAAATTGTCTCCACAAAATGCGCATTGAAAAGGGCATTTTGGTTGGTCCCAGACTCCTGAGGCAAGGAGTTTCGCGCGGTTGCAGGGAGTGCGAATTGCAGTGCTCTCACTTTTAAGGAATTATCCTTAAAAATAGGAATTTTGAAGAGTTTTAAGGATTTTTTTAAGCTGAATTTAGGTTTTTGAGGATTTTTTTAAGGAATTTCCGAAACATTTTATCTTGGACTAAAAATGTTGGACGGAGGATAACACGCCACGCAAATGAGATTTAAACTTAAAAGTAGCAACATTATACGCACATAATTACATATATTCGTATGTTCTCTATGTCATAAATGACATATGGCTGTCTTTCCATTAAAATTCTCAAAAGTTAAAAATATATACTGTAAAACACTTTGACAGTCCCAAAACTTATGCTGTACTAAACCCCAGGTATTGTTATTGATCCTGAGCTTTTAGTCCTTGTTTTAGTCGTTCTTATTAAACATGAATAAATTGACGTCTTTTAAGTGATGTTATTTTCGTCATCGCATCTTGTTGGCCACTTTGAATATGGCAATATTTTATCAATTTTTAAATGCTCTTTTCCGACCTTAAAACGTTCAATCTTCTTGAAACTTCGCATACAGATGTATTTCCATGGGTTTAAATCATTCCTGAGGTATGACGGCTTAGTTTTATCTTAAACTTTCAAAAACTCAGAAAAAGCAGTCAAAACGCGCGGTTTTTCTGACCGTTCATGCTTATGGTCGTGTTTTTTCGGGGTTTTTTTTTTGCTAATTCGTGATTTGTTTGCTTTGCGAATATTAAATTTGTTTATCATACTACTGATATAAATTAAATTTGGCGGTATAACTAATATTTTGGGGCAAGATTTTTCCGATCAAAAAATGCGCATATTTTGAAAAAAAAATGTAAAAAGGACTGGGTCTACCTACAAAAAACGTCAAGCACGGCTTCAACTCCCCCCCCCCCTGACTTAGCCTTCCAGTTATTTATAGTTCAATGGGGCACGCACGGTGAAAAAGTGAAGACATGATTCGTCATCAGCGCGCATTCTATGTCTATTATTTCTATGGGTAGACCCCCGCCTTAAACTTGATGACCTTTTTTGACTCTCTCTTTGAGAATCGTGAATTCCATAGTGAATTCGCATCATTTTAAAAGTCCTTTTCAAATGACGTGTTTACTTGCACGTGCAACTCTGCAGACTGTGCGAGGGCCGCGAAACCGGGGGGAGGGCAATGGAGCATGTGTCCGGCACCCCCCTTTTTTAAAGTGCCCTTTTTCTGGACTAAAATGCCCCATTTAAAGAACGAAAAAAAAGTATTTCTTGAATGAACGCCCTCTTTTACTGGAAAGAAAGTGCCCTTTTCGCAATGGTATAAAGACTCTGCAAAGGCCATTTCCGACGTTATAGAGATTGCATATTTTCACTATGACGACATAAAATCGTTTGATTTTGGTCATAATAATAATAATAATAATAATAATAATGATTTAATAGCATTTCCACATAGTGGCTCTCCTATGCTACAAGTGAGTTTGATTATAAGATAACAAAGTATACAATACATACAACGGAGTACATAATACGACACAACAAGTATTACAATAAGTAGTATGTTGTACATTACAGTATTTAACAATTGACATTACTTATACACAGTAAAATACAGTATAGTTATACACACAATGTCAACAGAGTTTACGACGTGTCACTAATTCTGTTTTTGACTAATGTTTTGAAGTACTCGGAGGAGGTTCTGCAATAATCTTTAAATGTATCGCAGTTTCGAATTTCTTCAGGTAAGGAATTGAACACTCGAGCTGCTTCATCTTGGAAGGTTCCAGAGATAATAGGGACTACTAGACGCCGGGCAGATGATGATCGTAATGGTCTTATAGGAATATATTCCTCTAATTTTAAGTATGAAGGCCAGTCATCACAATTCATTGCTTTGTATGCTAATTTGGCAAGATGATAATTCCTACGTTCCAAAATTGGAAGCCAACCGAGAGACATGACATCAGTGAATCTAGCGTACTTATTAAATACAAAGCCAGCAGGAGCGAACTGCACTCGTTGTAAGCGTTTTAATAGGTATTCTGGTACTGGACTAGACACGACATCGTTGTAATCAATTTTTGATAGCACCAGACACTCCGCGAGTTGCTTCCGAATTTTAAATGGCGCCAAATGTTTCAATTTTCTCAAGACGGATAATGTCGCGTAACAACTTGAGATCTTTTTGTTTACATCATCATTCCATTTTAAATTTTGATGCAATGTAGTACCAAGAAGAGCCGCACATTTAGTTCTTTTAAGTTCAATTCCATTAGCATGAAGATGAACAGAACGATCTTCATCAAGTTGGTGCACACGAGAGAGTTGACTAGTCGAGAAAAGCATGACTTTTGTCTTATTGGGGTTAAGAACAAAGTTATTAGAACTAGACCAGGTGGAAATTTTATCTAGATTGGATTGAATTTTCTCTTCACATGACTTTATGTCAGCTGGCTTACAATGTGCATATGTGGTAGTGTCATCGGCATACTGATGTGAAGATATAGAGTCATATACAAAAGTGCCCCTTTTGAGCGGCCTCTGGACTGATAATGTAATTGTATTGATAGCAGTCCCGATGTCACCGTCTTATTATAAGTAAACTCCCTAATGATAGCAAGCTTTCGTTGGTAGGGATGCAACTACCTGAAAAATATAAGGAGAATGATGACGTTTCGAGCGAAGGCCCTTCGTCTGGAGTAATTATGTAGAGATAAAAGTTGAAGACAAGACCGCGAAAGCCGGCTATTCGTGAGACCCAGTAAATGAGAAGAATTACTCACTGTTTATTTTCATCGTATATTTTGTTTGTTTTCATGCAGAGACAAATTAAAAGATTAACACTAAAAAGTTCCCGTGCGTATAAAAGAGCTTTATTTTTAAAGGAAATTAAGTCCGTTCTGTTGACGCACGTGTTTTGTTCCGATAATTTGTTTCAAACAATAAGATACTTGAATTAAAATTCCAACCTATGGGGATAAGACGCGTTGTTGGAAATACTCAGATACATCACAAAAGCATTTAGCTCCAAAATAAAGCTTCAGCTAATTATTAAATAAAAATAACTATAGGTGCATGCCATGTCCCTGACACGAGCGTCTGGACAAACGAAGGCCCTTCGTCCAAACGAAGGGTCTTCGCTCGAAACGTCGAAAGTCTCCTTATTTTTTTCAGGTATAGTTGCATCCCTACCAACGAAAGCTTGTTATTGGCATTACACCCGCTACACTAAGGCCAATCCATGGCAAAAATGTGCTTGCACCGAAAGAAACAGTCTTGTGTTCTTGATTTTTTCTGTGTTGGTGTAATGTACTCAGGTGAATATGATGCTTGTGATGTTACTCTGAGTGTATATCCACACTGGGCAAGCTTGAAAAATATGCCTGGCCGCGGTGCATGGGAATGGAACCTACGACCTTTGGAATACTAGCCCAATGCTCTGCCGACTGAGCTATATACGCGGTCAGATTGGTTCGAGTATGTGATTTCCTTCGATATCAATAATCTAGTATAATTCCACCTGCGTTAAGTTTCAAATTTTTCCCTAAGTTCGAACAGGTACAACATCAGTTCTAGCTTTTAAATTAACTGAGTCATGCCACCCGCTGGCAGACTTGAAATTAAAGAAACATTTGACGTATCCTAACTGTCTTGCACTCACGCAATCCAGTTGAACATCGTCACCCTGTCGAATCATCTTGTTTTCTGGCGTGCTGAATAAAAATGGAAATTCCTGTGAAGACTTGCTTCTTACTCCTAATTTCTGTATCAGTTGTTTATGGTATTGGAGCTCCGGATCCTACAACTCCATCTACTCCGCCACCAGCTCCAGGACCAGGTATAAATTTTAGCTTCCGCCGTGTGTCGACACGCAAACCAAAAACTGACAGTTCGGTAGAAAATATTTTGATATTAGTTTATGTTATGTGAATTATTTTAAAACAGCCAAATAGACAAACTTTCATTGGTAATAGAGTAAAATACAGTTAAATAAACAAATAATGGCTATTTGATCAGTGGGCATGTACATAATTCCCTGCATGTACATAATTCAACTGCGTTTTACTCTTTTTACGTTTTACACGTATTAATACGAAAATTTGCCCAAGGACAAATTGATTAAATTTCGGTCAAATTTGAATGAAAAATTTGGATAAAAAATTTGCAAAACTAGTTGGTGCTTATTTTTAATAAATCAACCTATATAATTGTGTAATTTATATGCAGGATACATAGCGATCTGTTCACAAGCTCTCGACAAGTTGTGTTCGCACTGCTTATTCCGAGTTGTTGTAACAAGTTTGGAACAAGCTGTTAACAACTTGTAATAAGCTTGATGGCATTATTAGACTTGTTACAAGGTTGTTCTAGCAATTAGTCTGATACAGTCATGATATATAACAAAACTGTTACAAAGATTGACGACACAATGTTGTAACAATACTGTTATGTCATGACTGCATCGGACTTGTTGGAACAACCTTGCAACTACAAGTCTAATAATATCAACAAGGTTGTTACAACTGTTAAGTTGCTCCATACTTTGTTGACAACTTGGGAAAAACAGCACGACGGCGGCTTGTTGGCAGACTTGCTACATGAGATGTGAGATTTTTGCGTGTGTAGTTCCGTCACATATCTTCGTTTTTGCCAGTCAAGTCTGTTTTGCTCGTGTCATTCAGGGAAATGGGCACCTAGTTTTTTTTATTTAATAATTAGTTCATGAAACTTAGTATTTTGGAGCTAAATCAATAAATGGCTTCGTGATGTATCAGTTGTAAGACTGTAAGTGCCTCCAGCAATGCATCCTCGGCCCACAGATTGGAATTTTAATTAAAAAGTATCTATTGTTTGAAACAAATCATGCAAACAAAACACGGGCGTCAGCACAACGGACTTGATTTCCTCTAAAATAAAGCTCTTTATAAACAGGAATGTTAAGTTAATTTGCCTCAGCATGAAAACAAAAAATAATATAACCATCGAAATAAACAGTGATTCTTCTGGGTCTCACGAATAGCCTTTCGAACCACAGAGTAAATACCATACATGGATTTTTCCAGTCCGCCGTGTTCTTAGCAAGTGCCCTAAAGAGAAGCAGTAGAGGCCGCCACCCCCTGAAAAGATATTGAAATTTAATGTTCCAGGGGGGTAAATGCTTCTGTTATAGAACTTTTATCTATAGATAATTAGTTGCTCGTTCAGATAAACTGCTTATCTTTTTCTTGAAGCCAAAGCGTGTTTGGAGGTCAGATCACGCGTGTTTATGTCATGATTGACAGATTGAGTGCTCTACTTATGCGTGAAAAGACTGGGACTCAGTGGCGGCGCCAGGGGGGGCAAGGGGGGGGTCACTATTAGCATAGGCGTACGGGGCGGGGGGGCGGGAGGGGGGGCGGTAGCCCCCCCAGTTTTTTGGGCAGTTGGGCAATATCCCAGTTTTTTGGGCAGTCGGGCAATATTCGATCAACAGTCGGGCAATTTTGGTTTGCAATTAAAAAAAATGGGACAAATTCTGTTAATTTTGTCTAAAATTAAGTAAATTTTTTGGCAAATTTTGTGATTTTTGGAAAATTTGTGTTATGTTCCGAAAAATATAGGTTGTCCGGAAAATTTTTTTGACCCCTAAAATGGTACACTGACCGAAATTGTTTTGGCGACGGGGGGAGAGGGAGGTCGCCAAAATAATATTGGGGGGGGGGGAGGTCGCCAAAATAATTTTTCCGGAAAAAAATTTTTGGTGCTAGTCGGGCAGAATCCCGAAATTTTTTGGGCAATGTGGAATTTTTTGGGCAAAAAAGCTACCGCCCCCCCAGAATTTAGCGGCCCCGTACGCCTATGACTATTAGTCACTAAGAGCGACTAAAGGCTACACAAGCGTTTTGTCGTTATCGGAAAATGTATGGCTTATAAGTTGTCATTACTCATTAGTGAATGCGCGTATACATGAAACTGTTTTTTACAGTTTCAATATTCGTTTGTAAATCTCTGAATGGTGAAAACTTGTCAATACTCCAATAATACGTTTAAAAAAAAGACAAAAAAGCTTTAGTTTTGCAGAGTTAAATTCTCAAACGTGTAAGGCACTAATAAGATGAAAGTATCACGAAATTATTTGAATAAACCACATCGCATATATGGGGGGGGGGGGCGAATGTCCTAAAGAGTGGCGATATTCCTAGGGTATTCGCCCCACCCCCCTGGGAGGCGATATTCCTAGGATATTCGCCCCCGATATCGCCACGTTTTGAGGGGGGGGGGGGCGAATATCCTGGTTGGGGGGCGACCTTTTTAAAAATTCTATCTTGCCCCCCTAAAATTTGAGTTTGCCCCTCAAATGCCCCCCCCCCAAATTTGGAGGCCTGGCGCCGCCACTGCTGGGACTGACCTTCAAGTTTGGCTTCAAATTTCCAGTGGAGGTAGCGTTCCAGTTCTATTCAGTTCAATGTTGCTGGCTCTCAAATTGGTATAATTCATGTAAGCCAGTAATATTGGATCAAAATTCAAGATGGCGGACGCTTTTTACGCCAATTCCGTATATTTCTTTTAAAAACAAGGGTACTCTAAATTGTACATGCAACCCAACAATCACTTACGAGAAAAACAATCGTTTGCAGAACTATAATAGTTGGGCAAAAACCATGCGGAAACGAAAAGAACGTCGCCAAAAATGCAATTTTATGAGTGGACAGAGTTGAATTCATTAGATTCAGTGTGGAAAAAAATTCCTTCGGTTTTGTAAAATTTCCTTAATGTCTAGCTAGCGTAGATTTTCTGAACTTTTTTGAAATTAATTTATAAAAAACCCATCTAATTTGTTGCACTTTGATTCTCTAAAACAACTTTAGCAACAACCTTATTCCTTAATTAATCTCAATCAACGACAGCGATCAAATTTTTCAGATCACCACCTATGCTATTACCTATAATGCTATGTAAGACTTATTTTAAAAACGTTCTTTCGATTTTTACTGCCATATTGGTACTTCCTTTAAATATATTAAATTCAGTTTGCGCATTAAAACAGACGGACTCTAAGTTATATTCTAAGTGGCTATTTATACTAACCTGATGCGTTGTTCTTCTTTAAGGGACACCATTATACGATGATTGTGTCGAAGCCCACCAGAAAACGTGCAAGTGAGTACATTAATTTTGCCTAGCTTTTCAACAAGTGTCATAGAAAAAATTGGCAAAAGTCAAAATTTTGCTCGTCTGTGTGGGTCAACAAAGGAAATTTGACAAAAAAAATTTCAGCACTTGAATACGGTTGGACAGGATATATTATTGTAATATATTATATGGCAAGCATCACTTCCGGTGAAATGGCGGACTGTGACTGGCTGAGAAGGACTTTCAGCAGTCCATTAAGAAATATCGGACCTCGGTCTTTTTGTACAAACCTCGCCCTATGGGCTCGGTCTGTACAAAAAAGACCTCGGTCCGATATTTCTCTGTAAAGACCTCGCTCTCGGTTAATAAGAAGTTAATATTATTGGGGTGGCTAGAAATCCCAAAAAGTTGTTGTCATACAGCATATTTATGATGTAAACCTGTGATTAGTGAAACGTTTTCTTCATTATTTTGGCTAAATTTTTATCAATTTTCTCATTCAGACCGAGTTCAAAAAGTGAAAGCGCTATTGGACGTCAGTCCAATCCCTTTCTATTGTGGTTAACACGAAACTGGTTACGTCTAATAAATGTATAAAATTCACACTTGAAATTCCCATCTACAAAACCCATCTAAAATTATGTGCTTGATGTCATGTCTTGCAAAATACGAGAGAATAAGAGATGTTGCTCAACCTCATTCCCAGGGCTTCAGTGTGAGGACGAGGCGAGACGCGAGGAAGCCCTGGTCTGGGCTGGTCACGTGACGACAAAAAATGGGTAATCGTTCCATGTTTCGCGCACCAATATAGTAAACGTTATGTAATGGATATTATAGTGTACTGAAAAGTTAACTGGATACCTCCATATACATATATACACACTCTAACCCTATCCTTAAACCTAACCTTAAACCTAACCCTAACTCCTAACCCTAACCTAACCCCTAACCCTAATACCTAACCCCTAACCCTAACTTAGGGAGTGGTCATTATTTATGGGGAGGGGGGTTGGGAAATGGGAGGGGGGGGGGCAAACGAAGTTTTACCCTTATAAATAGGGGGGGTCAAAAAAGTTTTAACACAGAGAAAGGGGGGGGGTCATAAAAGTTTTTGATTTCTATAATCACAAATAGCAAAAAAGAAGACTCTAAAAATGCTATTTCCAACGATCTAGAGACTCAAAATTTCCCTGCTCGGCGCCAACCATGGTGGCGCCGAGCGACCGTTGAGCCCACTAAGTTTAACAAGCTTTCTACCTCCTGAGTGACCCAGTTGTGGTATTTACATAAACATACCATGCAAGTACACTTAACTGATCATTAA